TCTGAGTTTTGACTGTTTTGTGCCCTTGTGATTTGTGACTGTGTATGTGTGTGTGTAACGAAATAAAATTCCCAAGTGTGCAGAGGCTGGTCCACTACCTAACACTCCCAACTTAAGCCACTCTCAGACACATCCCGTCACTCAAAGCAATACAGCCCCATCGAGGCGCTGGTTTTCCAGGATCCAATCTCTCTGACTTTGTGGACCCCGCCATGAAGTGAATTGTAGCTGCGACGACGCCATCTTTAAGTAACTGTAAATGGAAGCTTAGTGTTTGTAATAATTTGTGGTTAGAATCAGATAAAGACGATACTGATAGTTTCCATTTTATTTTAACTTTTTAACATTTATTCATTTTTTTGAGAGACAGAGCATGAGTGGGGGAGGGGCAGAGAGAGAGAGAGAGATAACACACACACAGAATCCAAAGCAGGCTCCAGGCTCTGAGCTGTCAGCACAGAGCCCGATGCAGGGCTCGAACTCACCAACGGTGAGATCATGACCTGAGCCGAGGTTGGCTGCTTAACCGACTGAGCCACCCAGGCACCCCTGATATTCTCCATTTTAGAAGTAATGTATAAAGAGTTTGGAAACCTTCACTGACATCTTCACAAGAAAAACATTCAACAAACTGAAAATCAACAACTTTTTTTTAAGACCCATCAGAAAATAGAAGTCACAAAGGAAACCACACCCCAAAATTTGGAAAAACCGGCAAATACTGAAAATCATGGCAGGTATGAGCTTACCTGAAGCAGAAGCTGCTGGAATCATAAACTGTTACACACTTCACTGGTAATTTTGGTGAACTGGAGGTTTAGTGTGGACTACATTGTGAGTTTAAACTCCTGGAGCCCTAGATGGCCTCTCCTACTTTCATGGATTTTACCTCCAGGAACTCCACCAAGTTTTAACGCTAAAGGTCAGGGTGGGGGAATCTTCTTGAGTTTTGGGCAAGGGGAGGGGAAAAGTAAACATTTTGTAGTACACTCAGAGCATTTTCCATAACAAAACCCTGCACTTAGGAAAACTACATACCAGAGCCTTTTTGGACTTGAGGGAAGGCATTTGGGCAGGTCCAGCCTCTCTAGTCTTTCTGCCTCAGTAAAGGCTAAGAAGCACTTCTGAAGGTCAGAGTCCAAGTGCTCAAGCCCACTGAAAAGCTGAGATTTAATCATAAGATTATACAATAGTTCCCCTTCCCCTTAATCGACTGCATACAGCTAAGGAAAGAGTGAGTGAGTTTGAGGACATGCCAATAGAAACTCTTCCAACTGAGATACAAAGAGAAAAAAAGAATGAAAAACACTCAGGGGGTGCCTGGGGTGGCTCAGTCAGTTGAGCATTGGATTCTTGATTTAGGCTCAAGTCATGATCTCACTGTTCAGAGCCTGCTTGGGATT